AAACGAAGCATGGCCTAACCTAAGATGTCAAAGTTCATTACTAGAAGTAGAGGAATTACAAAGCAGAAACATCAGTCTCCTCTACAATGTAAGGTCTAGAATCTATTTTACTAATCGTCTTGGTGTTGCCATTGTAAAGGTCCTGCAAAACACATATATCAGGAAAGAAAGCAACAACACAAGTGTGTTCTGAGGTGAGGCGTGAGACAGAAACCAGATCATAATGAATTTTAGGTGTATAAAGTACATTTTCTAGAATTATGTCATCAAACAACATGATAGATCCTACATGTGTGACTGTCAGTTTTTCTTGGTTTGGAATATGTATCTTAATAGGAGTCCCAGCATACTCAGTGAATTTATCAAAGAAACTTAATGAACTGACTACATGTGCAATGGCTCCTGAATCTAACAGCCAATGTGGTTTATGCATATTTGAAATATGTGTGGCTGAATCTGTAAGAGATAGGATATTGCAAGCCAAACCTAACGACTCTTTCGAGTCATTTGTGGTTATAGCACCAACAGAAGGAGCAGGCTTAATGTCTTTGTGTAACATCTTGAGAATGCTATCACAGTCTTGTTAGGAAAGAAGCTGACTTTCTTGTGGTTGAATTGGAGTTGGATTAATAGGGGCATTTGTGTGGTTGATTTGTCAATCTTGGGTGCCTCTTCCTCAGCCAAAGCTTGGTGGGAATCCCACTAATTAGTAGCAATTGTCCCTTTTGTGGCCTTGACGGTGACAGTATGTGCATTCTTCCAATGAGCTTGTTCGCCCTTGTCCTCTACTGTATCTACCACGTCCTCTAGCAGTCATGGCAGAACCTTCATTGTTTAGGCTGTGAGGAGGTTAAGTCAAGTTGCGTTGCATTTCTTCTTGACAAACCAATGAGTAAGCTTGATTTACTGTCGGGAGAGGGCTCATTAGCAAGATTTGACTCCAAACGTGTTGATAGGATGAATTAAGTCCCATAAGGAACTGAAACAACCTCTGTTGTTGTACGGTTCTTGCATAGTCAAGAGAGGAATCACACTTACAACTGGGCAAAGGTACATCCACAGACTATTCCTCCCATAATTCCTTCAATCATGTAAAATAGCTCGACACTGTCATCGATTCCTGAGTGAGTAAATTGATTAGATGATGCAGACTGTAAATTTTGGATCCATCGATGATGCTAAAGCATTCTTGAAGGTCCTCCCATACGAGATTTGCGCTTTCTGAGAAGGTGATGCTGGCTGAAATCTCTTTTAATACAGAATTAATCAGCCATGAGAGTACCACAGCATTGCAGCGATCCCATTGCCCACGAAGACTCGGATCTTGGGCTTCTCGTCTATAGGACCTATCAATAATACCCATCTTGTTTCTTGGCCGAAGAGCCATCTTGATGGCACAGCTCCATATTGCGTAATTTGTAGCTCCGATTAGAGGCTGAGTCACAAGTGAAGTCACCTGTGTCTCAGAAGGATGGAGATACAAAGGATGACTGAGGTCAAGAGTGGTGTGGACGCTGCTGCTAAAGATGCCTTGTGCATTTTCTTGATCCGGCAACGCCAATATTGGCCGAAAGATTGAAGGTAGATGATGAATCTGACATGTTCGTGGACGCTATGTTGTGTGCGAGGAAGGAAAAGACGCTGTGTCATGAGGAGAATAAAGAATCGCGAAAAGGAAGGTGACTAGGGTTCAGTCAAAGAAGACAAATGAAAGTTAGGTCGGGCAGACTAGGAAATGGGTCGGATCATGAGCTAAGGCTTTGGTACCATATAGAAAAAGAATGCTTTATTGGATAATACACTTTTGCTTAACCCAATGGGTTTTACATCAACACGCTCTAATACAAAAAGGGGCAGAAGCTATTTATAGCCCAGGATAAGCCAAGAATGAAACTAACTAACTACCAGATAAACTAATCTATATTAGCCTACTGATATATAACTAATATCAATAGATATTATCCTGAAAAATAATATTTTTCTATTTCTCTACACTACCCATGTGATCGAAAAGCAAGGAAGATGAAGCCAGCAACATAGTTCTAGCGACAATCTTCTTTGAGCCAGACCCTGAGCTTCTTTAGTTAGCACAATATTGTCATTTGATCTTCTTCTTCTTTTTCGGCGAAAGTCCAACGAAGGTGGTTCATGATGGTTCCTTCTAGAATCTAAGGGTGGGGGCTTTGTTTTTTTGGATGATGAAATTTTTGATAAGAAGATTGGAGAGGACAAACTGCTTGCATCTCTTCCAGTGTATGCTTTGTCTTCTTCATTGATGTGAGTTACATAGTGGTCCTTTGATATGCTACGAGGCATATTTTTTTTGAGATGAGGGCATTTTAGTCTTTTATTGTTTTTAAGATTAATATTGAATAAAAATAATATTTCAATTCCATGAACAAACCAAACATATTTTTAAAACTCATATTCACTTCCATATCTATTTTTATATCCATTTTACTTCCATCAAAAATCATTTCCACCATACCAAACATGGCATCAATGTTGGTTTGTATGCTGTAAATATGATTTTTGGGAGTTTCAATTCTTTAAATTGTACCTTCTGCCACTAATCAATTAGATTTTACTTCTCCATATGATGTGCGAGTATATTAAAAATACATTGTAGTTAAATATTTAGTAATTTAATTTTATTGTTCAAAAATCTTGCAAATATGATAATCATCAAGAAGAAAAATAATCTAATTAAAATTACAATAATTAATAGTAGTTGAATGTTAAATATGCTGGACCAAAAAAAATAATTGAACATTAAATAGTATCAATGCGGATGTTGTAAAAGACGGCTAATTTATTATTGACCGGAATCATGAAAACACATTGTATAACAAACAAACAAAAAATTGAAAGTATTAAAAAACTTATAACAAATAGAATGAGTTAAAAGTTTTTTTCTTTGTTTTTTTTTTGGAGGGGGGTTACTGTACGTCGGGTACAGTTTACATTGATCCGTTTGATTCATGGTTTTTCATGATTAATAAAACAAAAAAAAAAGTGAGTGTTTTGTTTTGTTTGGGAAAATATCCCTCAAGATAAGTGAGGATATTTCATAATAATGATAAAAAAATTTCTGAAATATTATTACATGATTAGGTAACTAATAAAAATAGTTTTAAATAAAAAGATTGATATGTAATTTGAATTTTGAACTCTAAATTCAACAGCAATTTGAACCTCACATTTTTAAAAGATATTTATTTTAAATTATAAATAATTAAAATTAAAATAATTTTATTTCATCGTTAAATTTAAACAAATATCTATCAATCTTTTTTAAAAATGGGGCTGTTTCTGTGATTTTTTTTCAAATAAGGGTAGGAAAAAAATGGAAGTAAAATTTGATAAAAATTGTACATTAAATTTAAATTTTTTAAAAGTAACAGGCATTTGTTTAAATTTAACGATAAGGTGAAATTGTTTTAACTTGAATTCTTTAAGTTTTAAAATATACTTTTTAAAGATTTATGATTCAAATTGCATCTAGATCTATAGTTTAAAGTTCAAATTACATATTAATTATAAATAATAAAAAACATTATAATACCATTGTTTCATGGATATTTATTAATAAAAAAATTAATCTTTTAGTCCTCTAACTTTTAAGTCACTTATAACTTAATCTCTCAATTATGACTCGCTGTGACTCAATCCCTCAACTATGACTCACCTATGACTCAGTCCCTCAACTTTTGAATCACTTGCAAATTAGTTCCTTAACTTTTATTATTTTTTTCATGTTAGCTTATATTTCATATCAATGAGCAAGAGGAGAGTATTTTAAAATAATATATGAGCATTTTTTATCCCTCTTATTTGATAAGAAATTTTTTTAAAAAAAATTAAAAAATAAGAATCGAATTATAGGTGAATCAAAAGTTGATGGATTGAGTCACAACAAGTTATAGTTGAAGGATTGAGTCGCAGCGAGTCATAGTTGAAGGATTGAGTTATAAGTGAGTTAAAAATTGAAGGATTAAAAGATTAATTTTTTATTTATTAATTAATTAATAATTAATGTTACTTATTAAATTATGATATACTTATCGCTTCTAATAATCAAGCTCTCTTACATTTTTAAATTAGTCAATTAAAAAATTATTTTTTATTAAATACACATAAATTAAAAATTAATAAATTGAATCTATTAATTTGATATTAAAATTAAAGAATAGTAGCTGATAGAGTTAAATTTAAAAATTAAAAAATTAAAAGATAGCCGTTTTGTTTTTACGAAAAAACAACCAGCTGTCAGGCAGGGGTTAGGGCCAAAGCTCAAAGTAGAGCTGAAAATAAGGGCCGAGCTTGGAGGGCTGGACTTGTAGGCCTTGTTTAAATAAAAGTTCGAGCTTTAAAAATTATTTTTTTTCAAAGGAATCAGGCTTGAGGGTCTGGCCCTGATAAGCCCTATGAAAAAGGGCTCGGGCCCAAGAGGCCCTCTAAGCCCTGATAAGCCTGATTATTTTATATATATACATACACATATATAAATATATTTGATTGATAATGACACAATTTGGTCAATGTTTATTATAGATGATGAAAAAGAAGTTGTAAAGGTAATTGACATTGAATTTTCACCTCCATCTTCATTCTTCAACAAGTACATTTACATTTGAGAGATCTAATGTTTTATTTATAGATGATGAGGATGAAGAGAATTTGGGTTTTGATTGATGAATGTGTGTTGTTTGGATTTTTAAATATGTTGTTTAATTTTTAAAATATTGTGTGGATTTTAATTTTTAAATTTTAAAATATTTTAATTAATTTATAATATTTAATTTTATTTTAATTATTTTATTTTTTTTAATAGAGCTTTCAGGCCCGACCTTAAACCCTTTACATAAGGGCCATGTTTAAAAAAAGGGACTAAAAATAAATAATCATGTTTAAAAAAAGGGACTAAAAATAAATAATCAGACTCAAGCAACGGGCTCGTCCGTATTACCACTTATAGCCTAGAGTTCCAACACCGAAGAAGAGCTCAACTCATCTCTCAAACTCTGTTCGAACCCAGATCGCTGCCGCCACATTCTTCTGCACGGCACCGTCATCCTCAGCCACTCTTCACGACGTAGTCGCTCTCTCCTCTTCTCGTCCGAGTCATCGCCTCTCGTTCTCACCTTCGTCTTCTTCACGCCTGAGCCTGGCGTCTGGTCTGGCAGCAGAGAACTGAAAGGCATTAACAAATCCCTCACCCACTAGGTAGAGTGGGCCCTCTACCCGTGGCCCTGTGCTTCCGACACTGGCGTAAGCCCCAAGTTTGCGTGGTCTGTTGTTGTTGATGGCGAACAAACAAAGCTAGCAGTAATGTTTTGGAGAAATTTGAAGCAATTTGGACTCTCTGCCAGAGAACTACGGGATATGGCATTCTCTCTTGTCAAATTATCCTGTTGTCTTCATGTCACCGCCACCTATCTCGTGGATCCTATTCAGGTAAGCCATCCCGCCCTAAAAAAAGAAAAGAAACCCTTATGTTTACATTCTATTTCAAGATAAAGAGCATCAAAAGAGCTGGTTCAAATGTGCAGATCTATAGTCCTAGCATGCTTCCGGTAATGGGTCCGATGCCTACCATTATATTGACCGAAAGGAACTCCCCCCATTTTGGTAAAGTTAAGCGCGGGGATATTGTTATTGTGTGGTCACCTGAAAACCCTCGAAAGTTGATGTGCAAGCGCTTGCTTGGATTGGAGGGTGATGCTGTCACATTTCTTGTAGATCCTAATAATAGTGATAAATGCGAGACTGTAATGGTACCGTTGATTTCCCATGCACATTTTTCAGTTCCAGTTGATTCAGAAGGACTATTTTAAGAGTGATTTTGACATCTGTTGATTTGCATCTTCGTGAATGGTTATGGAGATTTTATTTGCTGAGTGTTTGCCTCACCTGCTTAGGTTCCCAAGGGACACGTTTGGGTTCAGGGAGATAACATATATAACTCCAGGGATTCAAGATAGTTTGGTCCTGTTCCTTTAGATCTTCTTCATGCCAAGGTCTTCTGGAGGGTAAGTTCTGATCTGTCATCACTTTCTTTGTGTTCCCTCACTTTCTCTCTGCTAAACTTTTATTAATTTTGTCCCTAGTTATCGCCGCCTGGACCCTTAGGCAAAAACTGATCCAAGATTTCAGCTTTGTGAAGCTCAATTCCTTAGCAGTATTATCACCAAGGTATGTAAAACTGGACCGGTCATTGAACCGATCATGACACTTGTTCACGGGCTAGTGGTTCAATTAGGGTTGAACTGGGGGGTGGCAAACCGGTCATGATTAAAATAATATAATTTAAATAAAAAGACATTAATTATAAAAACATTCAACCAAATTCAACTACTCAAAAGTCTAACAGTAATAAAATACAACACTTTAAATATCTATTATTACAATTACAACTCTTCAATCTCAAAAGTCTAGAGAAGAGATGGAGATAGAGCTGGAGAAGAGATGGAGATTGAGCTGGAAAAGAGACGGAGAGTCAGAGACTAAATTGGAGAAAAGATGGAGATAGCAGAGATAGAGATAGAGATGGAGAAGAGATGGAGATAGAGCTAGAGCCTGGAGAAGAGACGAAGACTAAACTAGAGAAGAGACGCTGATTAGGTTAGGGCAAGAAAGGAGAGATACAGATGAAAAGCCGAACTAAATGCTGTCTGAAAATTTAGATTGGACTTAGCGTGCTCTACTTTTAATTTTTCATTTTTTGACTTTAGTTTCACTTTTTTTTTGTTATCTTATTTCTGAACTCAGCACTCTGAAAAATAAAAAATGAAAAAAAAATCTCTTAAAAAAACCGAGTTATACCGGGTTGAACCTGGGTTGATCGGTTTACACTGGTTCATCCCCTCACCAGTTTAGGAGTAAACTCAGATCGGACAAGGGATCTGGTCACTGATTTTCGGGTTGACCCGGCCGGTTCGGTCCAGATTTTAATACCATGATTATCACTTTTTTTATTCAATTCCTAAATGTGTATACTCGCCCAAGTTTCATTTTAACGTACGAGGTGCCATTTCTCCCTACTTGGAGTTATAAAACTCGTGGTTCCCAGAAGATGAAAATCTGGGAGGTGAGACATAGTTGATTGTTAATTAGTAGCATCAACTGAGGAGTGTTGCCTTTTCAGTAACTGTATTTTCCGTGGTTGAACACATTCTTTTATATGTATGCCATGATTAGCCTAAAAAGTCTGGTGGAAGACCATTTGATGTCCTGTTACTATTAGATTGTTGTCCCGTTGAAGAAGGTCATTGGAAATGAGGAGGGCCGGGCACGGCTTTAATTTTATCAATCTCAGTATGAAATGTTATTATGAACCACTTTTACTGTCGTGTTTATTTCTCATTCAAAAATCAGATATGCCAGGATGATTTGATAAATGAAAACCATGGCAAAAACAGATATTGGAGAATATCCAACATGATATTTTGGGTTTTTTTTTTTTTTCCATGGGAAGGTGAAGATGTTTAAGGTTGGGATCGCAAGATTTTGAAACTGTGGTTACTATGCATTCTGAATTTCAAGTTATAGTTGTCAGTTTAGAATTGACGTATGAAGCAAAAATATCTTGGACAGACTATAAAAGACTGTCAAACTCGGTAGACATATGAGCTCCCTTTTGCCACTCTGATCCTGAAGTCCCACAAGATGCAAATTCCAAACCGAACATTCTACAATATAAGATCTTTTTCCTTCAGAGAGCTCATTAGAGTCTCATTGATTCCGTTCCTTCTCGAAGCTTCGGTTTCAGATTGGATTCTCCGTGACCTTGTTCTGTGCCAGCCCCTCTTGACACAGTTTTGTGGGACCTTGGGATCATAGAATGATGATGAATTGGGACTGAAAATTTAGACGTTGTGGTGCAGCATCTTGAGTTGAGGTGAACTTGAATAGGTTATTAGGTTGGTAGTGTGCCCTCAATTGATAAGGCTCTGAAGAGTGAAGTAGTGTGTGTGGCGTTGTGTGTATTGGGTCCTGAATTAGTTGAATATCGGGTTTTTTTTTTTCTTGGACCTGAAACTAAGGGGCGCTTTTGATAAAAAAAAAAAATTTGGCTGAGAAAATGACTAAAAAGTCCCTTACAAGTATTTTAACTATCCACAAATCCTATCAAATATATAAATAGCTATGAGTTCTTGAAGGACTTAAATGTAAATAAAATTTTTTGTGAATTTACTGAAAAAACCCATGGCAGAAAAAATTGCAGAGCTGCATACGCTCTTCTTTCTCTCCCTCTCCTTTGCAGCTTCTTTCTTCTTCTTTGCCATCCTCAAACCTTATCCCTTCATCAATGACAAAATCCCTACTGTCGACCTTCACGGCATTGACACCCCAGACCATCGTCTTGCCATGGTGAAGCAAGTAAAGCGCGCAGCGCTCAACTATGAGTTTTTGATGAAGAATGGGGAAGGGGAAATGAGAAGAGAATATTAAAAAGAAAGAGAGAATAAAGAGAGAAGAGTGAATTAGGTATTGAGAAGAGAGAAACTTGAAAAAGAAACAAACTGATAGTAATTCTTATTTAATTAAATGTATATTTACAAAATAATTAAGTGAAAGTATTATTTCAAGTCTCAACCTACTCTTAGAAATAAATGAAAAAAATTTTAAAAATTTTAAAATTAAATAAAAAGATAATAATAAATATTAAAAGATGATAATAATTCAAATATTATAATAATTAAAATAGAATATTCTTAATTAATAAAATATCCTAATAAAATATTTTTGATCTTTTAATCTTCTTAAATCTTCAATATCTTTGATTATTTTTTTTTCTTCCCATCTTTTCTCCACTGCTTGAAAAACTCTCGTTTGGAGAGTGAAATTGTAGGTATGCTTAGGAAATATGGTAAGATTAAAAGATTCCAAGTCATTACTATATTTGGAAATCTCTTCCAGCAAATCAAATATTAAAAAATGGCATTAAGTGAACAGCAAACAATTTGAACATGTAGAAGCACAATAAACAAATATGAAAATCACTTCCAACAAACAAGAGAAATTGGAGGGGATCATGTGGTTTAAGAACAATGTGTGCTTCCACAGTTGTAATAAAATTAGCACTAAAGGGCATGGTGAATGAAGCAAAGTAGGAGTTGGATGAAATGGATACCATCATTAATTGTCTCAAAATTCTTAGCTACCATGTATAGAATTTGCTTCCACAATTGTTCTTCTTCTTAGTTAAGAGTTGTTTCTTGAGTCTTAATAATGCTTATATCTAGGGTAGGAGCAAAAGCTTTAATATGATTTTTCTAGACCTCTTTAATTTCTATATGGTCATATACCTCAATTTTAAAATCAACAATGATATTGCTCTCTAGCATCACTGATATATACATGGTCTTGGTTAGGCATCTTATTTCTTTTTGAAGTCAAAATATTAGGGTCTTTATAAGGCTTCACGATACTATAAAGAGGATTAGGAGTTATGTTCTTTTGATGTGACTTTTCTCTCTCAACTTGATGGAAATTCCTTTCTTTTAATGTAGATCGACGAAAACTTTAGAGTTTATCAATTTTATCTCTCACAAGTTCAAGACGTAAACATAGGAAATCCAAGTTAGATGGGTCAACAAAATCATACTTATTATGACATTGATGGTGATTGACATAATCATGGTGGTGCAAATTAGCATAATCATATTGACAATGATAATTATACCAACAATAATCAATATAAACATATTGACCATCAATATAATCATATCGGCAATTGAATGAGCCCATAACATTACAATTGAAGGTGGGTTTTTTTTTTTTATATGATTATAGGCAATGGAAGGTGAGATGGAAAGGGAACATCTAATATACTATGTGAAAAAAAGTTTCCAAGTTGTCTTTACTTATTAAGATGAAGACTTATTCAACAAGTATAACCCTCTTGTAAATCAAAAGTTTTTCAAGGATCATACTTATTAAATAAATAATAACTTGAGTTAAGTCTTCATAGTGACCTCTGAGGGCTTAGAAACCTCTTAGGAAAATCAATAAAAACTTTGATTAGCTTAAAGTAAATTTTGACCTAGGTATAAGGTTGAATTGTGTGTAAGAGTTAGGCGTAACCTAAGATTATAAGTGAGAGGATTAAAAGATATCAATTTTTTTGGATTAAATCAAAGAAAAAACTCAGGTGATTGAAGGAATGCAAGGAAATATGGAAATAAAACAATAAAGGAAGGCAACAAAATATAGAGCAAAAAGCGAAGGAGCTATAGTAGAATGGTTTAGAATGAAGGAAATAAATAAACAAAACATGAACAATAGAAAAAAGAAATTAGGAAAAGAAATAGGAAGAAAGGGATTCAAAATACCTTTGTAATATTGATAAGACTCAAAGAGGAAAATTTAAGATCAAAATACCTTTCCGAGTAACCTATGGAGCTTTAAGTTATAAATTTTTTTCTCAAAAACATTTTCTGTATGATGGTTCTTGGCACTGGGAGGGTATTTTATAGTGAGTTTGGCAATAGAAGTGAAATGGCAACTTTGCTCTAATACCGAATAATGCAACATGGGGAAGAGGAAAGGGAGAATAAAATTTAGAAAAGAGAGAAAGGGAGTAGAAAAAATATAGAGAGAAGAGAGAACTAGGTAGAGAGAAGAGATAAACTCCAAGAAGAAGCAAACTAATAGCAATTCTTATGCAATCAAAAGATACTATTTATAGGTCTCAACCTAACCCTAAAAATAAGTACGAGAAAATTTTAAAAATCCTAAAATTAAATGAAAAGATAACAACAAATATTGAAATATGATAATAATTCAAGCATTATAATAATTAAAATAAAACATTCTTAATTAATAAAATATATTCGATCTTTTAATCTTCTCAAATGTTTAATATCTTTAATTATTTCTTTTTTTTTCTTCTTATCAGTTGCTTCCAATTGATCTAATGTCTCATCATAATTAATTGCTATTAAGCATCAAATAATAGCACTCTTGACATACTATTATTAGCAACTTTCAAATATTTAATTGCAATATTATTGTTAGAAATGTCATTTCTAGTTCCTTTTCTCAATAGTGAATTCAATCATTGTCAAACAAATCTAGTTGGACTTATAAAAAATGATAGGCCTTGTCAAAAGCATTAGACTGTAAAAAGAGATCCTAGTCTAGATTCTCTCAAAGCCAAATAGTTTCCAAAATAGTAAGGTACATAATTAGGGACTCTCATAAATGATCACAATGAGTCCCATAAAAAGCCTTAACAAAAATGGTTGATCAAAAAGCAGAAATTAAAATTGCAAAATAGAAAATGAGAAATAATAATTATGCGTGTATAATATAATTATAGTATAGAATTTCTAACACATGAATTTTAGTTATGCAACTATTATCATACACCAATAAGTCTTATAAATGGCCTTAACAAAAGATAGTTGCTTAAAAAATAGAAACTAAAATCACAAAATAGAAAATGAGAAATAATAATTATGGTGCACAACATAATTATGCGAAATTCCCAACAAATGAATTTCAGTTATGCAACTATTATCATGCACCAAGAAGTCTTCCACACCACATAAATATGGTTCATACAAAAGCCCATACCAACAATGCATTAAATATTTTCATGCCTATAGAGTACAACAAATATCAAATACATAATAAGTGTTGAATGTCTATCCTTAAAAGTCTAAACCCCAAAATTAAATTAACAATATCACACCTATGACAAATTATAAGACTTTTAAGACCTTTAACACGAACTAAAGTAATTTCATGAATCCTTTGAGTCTCTTAAAAATTAGGAACTAGGGAAAAGAATATGGGACTTACAGTGAATATTAAAAGGTTTTTGGGGCATAATTATAATTCTGAAAGAGATTTGGGGTTAAAATATAATTCTAGAAGTTTAGAGATAACTTGTAATGTCAAAAACTTTCCTGGGGTAACACGCAATTTCTTGAAATTTCAGGCAGAAATAATGAATAAAAACTGGAGTGTTCACTGTAATTGGGTCTCAATTTCAACCCAATTCCTTTCTTTAAGCGACTAATCAAAAGCCCATGACCATTTATTTTTTAAGTCCTAACAGGTCCGAGCCCGAAAGGGCTAAGGCTCAAAACATGAGGGCTGAGGCATCTTTTTCCTCACCTATCCAGATCCCTAACCTTATATTTGGAAGATTTTTTCAAAAGGAAATGGAATGGAGTTGTTTGTGAGTTTTTTCTCCCAAACCTTATATTGTAAGTTGTTTGTGATTTAGACTAAAACGTCTAAGTCATTGTTTATGAATTTTTTTTTAAAGAGAAATGAAATGACAAGGAAGAACCTCTA